TCGCAGCAGCGCGCTCTTCGTCTCCAGCAGAGCTCATCTCGATGTGGCTTCCCTCGAGGGGCAAACTCTAGAGTGTTTGCGGCCTACGTCACTTATTTATCGGGTGAGACTGTTTTGGTGATGTATTAACTTCACGAGAGGTCGACGACTGTCCTTCACACGGACGAAAGAGGGAGTGCTCAAAGAGCGGCTCCCACAGCAAGGAGGGGCCCCGTGAATCATCGCGGTGCCCCCTATTAAACGGTTATCTTACCAGTCTGCGTGACACAAAATCATCCAGCACATGTATCCAACAGCAGTGTTCGCAGACCCACGAACATCTTCCTGCTTCAGCGGCCGTTTCCAGATGGAACAATCCTGAGAAGCTGGACAGACTTGTTGAGCATTGGAGACGAGCTTCACATTGATCCACAATGCTGCACTCGTGCGTTTCCCGCCTTTTATCTTGTTCTTTTCGAACTGTACACAACAAGCATGTCGAAGCTGCTAACGAGCATTATTTCCCCCCCTTCGATACATACGTGTTTGCCTCTGTTGCGCCGTGCTAGAACCCTTCACAAGAGGCTTCTGATGATGCACTTCATCGCCGTTGTGAACGCGAGTGCCGGATGCTTCAAGTACATGCTCCCCGTTTCGGATGTTTCGTGCCTGGCTACTCAACGAGCCATGGCAGCTACAACCCTTCTCTACGATGTAAGGAAAGACGTATTTGTAAGAACGTTGATTGGATGTCGTCTGTTGATTAATGGCCCTGTGTTTTCGTTTCCGCACGCACTCTAGGTCATCGTTATGCTAAAACAAAATGTTTCCACACAATCCAGTTCAGGGAAATGCAGCGTGCATTAACGTGGACCCGGATGGTCCCACGCGAAAAACGGTTATGTTCGACATCAGGCGAGTCTGGTGTTGTTTCTCCTTGCGAAAACGTGTGTCACCAATGGAGGCAGGACCCTGACTGCATGGGAAAAATGCATCTCGTGGTGGTCGCGCTTCTACGCCTGGGGATACCTGTGAGTGGTTGACTAGAAGACAACTGTGCTGGACTCGTTTTCTGTGCCACGGTTTCCCCGCGGAAGGTTTGAGCACCGCCGGCCTTGTGCATGGTATGGCTGGTCCGCTGCAACCACCCGGCAATTTTCTCTCAACCATTGAACCCCACCAGATGCTGACCATCGGGAACACACCGCAACGAGACTGCCTCTCTTCCTCCGATTCTTGATTGGCGCAGGCCGCTCGTTACCGTCGTCATTGCAACCAGTCTTCCTGGCGTGGCAAGTGAAGAGGTGAGAATCGAGAGGTAGAAAGCATGCCTTTTCGACAATTTACGTCGTACCAGCGACACTACAACCACAGCATCCGCTTCGTTCAGATATGGCCACGAGACACTTGTCTTTATCCAAGACGGATGCGCCCCCAATGTATGCTACGCAGGGGACGTTTTGTTTAGTTGGATCTCGGGCTGAGGGCGAGGCCACGACGGTTTCAGATACCATGGGATTCGTGACCAACAACGGTATGCTGATCATCCAGGTGGGCTGATGTATCACACAGGTTGCGAAACCTTGGAGTAACAAGGACACTAGCAGGGCCTCTCTGGGATTTTGTCAGGGAACGACCAGTGTAATGTCAAGGATGCACCACTCATTGAGTGGAGCGAAGAGGGGTTGGGTGGAGGCGGCGGCGATATCTGGGTGTGTGGGAGGGGGGAGCATCCACAGGATTGTTTTCCCTCGTCTCTCCCAGTGGGCACCTGCCCAGAGACACGCGCAGCGTTCGCCTTGAATGAATTAATAAAGCCTTGGTGATGCGCTTGATCCTATTCTCCGCGGCAAATCCAACCAGAGGTGCTTATCGTCAACGACTCAGTTTGTCTTTAGTGCCCTCCCCGTGTTTTTATCCTACGTTTCCTTTCAGTTCGTGCTTCTGCTGGCAATGTTCGTGAAGCCCATGATGATATCCCACGGTGATACTCAATCGGGAGGGGCGATGTACCGCCGACTCGTGGTCCGAAACATCGTGTGCACTGTCGCTGTGGTCGTGGCATACGCCATCACAACTGCCGTTGTCGTCCTGAGCGTGCTCGGAGCTTCCCCCGGGAGGAACCAGGTGCGGAATGGCGACGTCGTCATCAATAGGCGTGGTCCTTCGCGGATTTGGCGCTATCTGCGGTTGACTGGTTGACTAGGGCGTACAACGACGTTTCACGGTTACTCGGTCCTGCATTAGAGAAGACTGGTGCCAGGATGCCCATTTTCGTCCCATATCGCAATTTACCCCGGTCTACGTTTGGGAAAAAATACTAGAAAAAAGTAGTACAGCATCGGGATAAAAAACAAGAGCAGGGAAAACGCTGCGTTCACCAACAGGCACACAGCTACCATAGCAGATACTTTGCTTACCTCAACTCCTCTATGGCTGAAATGGTTGGTTGCAGTTCCTCGAGCGAGACTCGCTGCAGTAGATGACGAATTGTTGGACGAGCATTAAACCTTTTCGTCCTGCAGTGTGTCGCCCGGGACTTTGATGCAAGCATCTGGGATTTGTATATGTACACGTACAGAGCTTTGGGAACAGTTTCATGGTGAACAACATTTGGATCTTCAAAGAGGAAACAAAGGCGAGGGTACGAATGGGTGATTGGTAGGAGCACTTACGCTGGGCGGTTGTGGGTTGGGCCCGACACGAGAATATGTGCAATTGCCATCCCAGTTCGTATGTGTCGAGAAGAACATGTTGCGCGTATCGATTGTCACGGCAAGTTGAAGGCACACGCGGTCGTCGCCGGCCTCTTCGTGGCACCCTGAACCAAGAAGCAAGTGCACCTAGTGCTATTTACCTCAGTCGGGAATCAGTCAGAGCGGCGTCTTCCCATGCCTCGTCGTACCCAATGGCCTTTGACGGTGCCTTGTCAAAAAATGTCCGCTCGCGCGTTCGTCGTTTGATGTGTGACAGGGAGGGAAATATAAATAATGTGAGGGACAGTTGTCTGTTGAGAGGGACACCTATACAGGGAGCAGCACCGCCCGAGCGCAGTTGCAAGCTCAGGGTTAGTAAATCGCTCAGATGAAGTTGGTTAGAAAGACCGAGAAGGCCGTGGCCGCCACATGACGCCGTCACAGCAAATAACCCAAACGTGTGACGAGCGCACCCATCAGACTGCCCAGCTCTCTGTTGTCGCGTTTGATGGGAGCGACAATGCGCACGAGGTGCTTTCCGAGGTGGGCGAAACGATGGATGCAACCCGTGTCCCACAACTGTTACCTGGTCTGAGCCGTGCTTGACGTCGCCCCTTCATGCAGGCGGATCTTATCGCGGACATGGCGCCTCCGATCAACATTTTCATGACGCTCTGCCTGACTGAGGTGGGCAGACAGAAGAGGGGTGTGTCCTTAGCACTAAGTGTCTAGTATTCCACAGAGTAAACACGCGTGGACACACCGTACTGTGCACAACTACTGCAGAAAGCAGGGCTGAGAAAGCACTTCGATACATAATACAGTTTCGCATCCGTCCCTGTATCCCGTATTTAGCTTGCAGATATGGCAAAGCCTCTGCTTTGGAAACGGGTCTGACCCAGTGTCACTAAAATGCGAAAGGAAACTCTTCAGATTCCCATGAGTAGAGGAACGTTCGCGTCGGAGAGCGCCTCCTTCTGAAACGTTTTTTCAATAGTTTTTTCCACGAGCGCTGGTTGAGTACTGCGAGCACCAAGGCCTCCAACCGGCGAAGTGATTCACTGTATGTAGTAGACGTGTTTTTCATTGTACCGGTTCCAGCAAATATGTTGCATCTCTCAAACGCGTCGAACGGTACTGCAGTACGCCGACGGGGACATGGATTCTTTGTTATCGCGGACTCAGCTGGTGCTACTGTAGTCCAACCTCGATCTGGTAAGCATATGTTTCGGGGCATTTCAAGACCCCTCAAAAGCTGGTAGACCACATGTATGTGCAAATGTATTACAGATGTGAATGCGGGCTCCGCGTCATTTCTCTTTGAAACAGGTAGCCTTACCTTTCGGGTTCTCCAGCTTTTTGAAGGCTGTCAAGGCTGGAAGGAACGAGGGAGCCCCCTCATCACGGACGATGACGGTCCCCGCAACGACGAAGCGGGTACCGTGTCTGCAAAGTAGCACCACGAAGAAGTCGGGAGGGTCTGTTGTTGTTCCCACCGAGGTGGCGTGATAGCGACGTCCGGGATTCCTGCAAGTTTGTTGTAACGGAAAGGCTAAGAATCTGATTTGTTGTGTGCATCTCTCGTGTTTTAAACTGCAAATCAGTAGGGGATCCGGTTCACACCGAACGGGCGACAAAGCAAGCTTGATTCCTGCGTGTGTCAATACCTTGCACGGACGCAATGCTGTGGGGTCGAGTCTATTCACCAACGTGGCGTCGAAACGTGGTGCTCAGTGTGATCATTCTGCGAGGTTTTTGTGATCTGGCTTTGGGAAATGGCTCGGACTTCTCGCTGCGCAGCAGCAAAGCAGCGGTAGAGCAACGGGAGAAACGTCAATGTCCGAAGCGGAGCAGATTATTTGTGCTGGTTGCGTATAATAAATTGCTGTACTTTACCTACTAGACTCTGCATGTTACCCCTCCTGAGTTTACGGGAATAGGCCAGGCCTGAAAAAATTCAGTCTCATTGCTGAAGACTCAATCTTATGAGGATACGTCGCACAGAAAAACGAGCTTATCTCGCATGGTGTCTTCGGGCAGGTTAAGGCGTAGACAAAGGGTGCCTTCCGAGATCGTGTGCCCGAAGTTGAGATTGAGCGAATACCGAACCCGCTAAGCTCTGAAAAGTTGGTTGTAGTCACCTCTGCCCATGCGTGCACGATTCCCTTGGTCAGATTTGGTGACGGAGGTAGGGAAGTGGGGGTTTCAACGACTTTCTCAGTTTTATATGACGTAATGTATGGAAGAATGCAAACCCGGGGATGGGATGGTTTTGTCCCCCCAAGTGTTTTCATCCGTTTTCTCGCGTTGTTAAGCGCTTTTACGCGGGCAACATGGCGCGCTGACGGCCGTTAATGATGTGCGTGGGACATGCACGTTGTTGTGCATGACAAAATTGCTGCGATACTCATACTAAATTTGTTTAAAGTACTAGACTAATTTAACTGAATTTGTTGAAGTGTAGTTGTTTTTGACGGTAAAAACACCCGAAGAGCACAATCCGGTTTCTCCGTTAGTTTCCTCAACGACAACGAAACAGCACTGTCACTGGCGGCATATAACAACTCACAGCATGCTTTACACAACAACACAACACAAAACAGCAGCAGCAGCAGCACCACCACCACCACCAGCAATGACCACGAACGAGATCAAAATAAATTAATACGACCAAGTGAGGCACTCAAAATGCTACCGACTTTTGCTCAACTGTCGGCAGCAAGAACCACTACTCTCTCCTTTCCCGATTTCTCGTGTACCTTGCCAACGATCTCGGGGTAGTTCTTTGCCACCATGCAGTCCGGGTACGCTCCTACCCTGCACTTAGAACAGTAACACGACGCCCTGCGAACACGGCACGTGTATTTTCTCCTAACCTTTTCGGGGCGCGGGGCTGGTCCGACTACTTCGGGGCCAGGGTTCGCGTGTTCATCCCCTGCCGCTACCACGACTCTACTATCTGCTGGTTCCACCCCTAGGCTACTTCTAAGCCTTTGGTCCTGGTTCTCCGCCCCCATGAACTGGTGAATCGCCCGATCGATGCACGCGAGACGTCGTCGCAGTGCCAGAACCGGATCGCTAACTCCAGCACACGTTCGTCCGTCGCGTCGCTCCTCGTCTTGCGTGTAGTCCAGCAGTAGTAGCGCCCCTCTTCCAGAGCTTGCGGCGGGGGGATAGTATGGTCGGTATGGTGCATCCGGACATGCGCCGCGCGGAACGTTTTCTCCCTCACCCCAAGGCTCTCCGCTCGCTGGGCGAAGCTCACGCCACCCTGCGGCTCAGCGGGAGGGCACCGCTCTGCGGGGTTGCACGGATCGGTAGGGCTGCAAGTGTGCTCCCCAGCTCCAGCCACCGCGGCCAGCACGGTCGTATACGCAACGCGGCCGATGTTNGTCTAGTATATACGCAACGCGGCCGATGTTACTCTAGCTTTTTCCCTTTAACGCGGCCAACGAAGCGGCCATCGCGCGAGTGTTTTCCGCGTGAACTGCGGCTACGCCCTCCAACCCTTGCACCCCCAGCATTGTCCTCATCTCCTCCTCCAACACGGGATCCTTCCGCACCATCTCGAGCACATCAGCGCGGCGCTTCTCGACCCGCTGTTGCAGGCAGTCATAGTGATTTTTCGAGGACGGAGGGAGATGTACCACAAACATGGTTAGCAATTGGAAACGAAATTGATGGCAAGCATGTTGTTGTTGCTGCTGCTGTTGTTGTTGTCTACACGTGTCTTATTGAAAGTTTAAGCAACAACAATACATGATGTCACGCTGTACGTATGCATACAACGAACTTCATGAAAAAGGCGGGGGAAACATAGACTTACCACGAATAGAGTGCTCTCTTTTTTTTTGTTTTTGGCGGGAGAAGAAATTTGGTCAACAAGATGGGCTCACCGTAGGCTTTCGCGGCGCCTTCGCCGGGCGTGGTGCAGCTTCACCCCCTCTTGGCCCGCTGGTGATCGCCGCCTGCACAGGATCCGATGCAGCGACCTCAAGGTCCGCGTTGACACGCGTTCTCTTCACACCAGCAGCAGCTGCGGAGGGATGTTGGCGCCTGCTGCTCTCTGCTCGTTCCCGAATCGTCTCAGCGTGCTGCTTTCCAACGGCAACAAGCTCATCGTTGCCTGCTACAAACTCGCGATACTCGCACCACGACTCCTCTGCGTGCCCTTGTCTAGGAGCACAGACGTCAGCGTATACCCGGTCCTGGTTTGTCTCCGTGTCTGCTTGACTAGACTACTCTGTCCTCGCCGCCGAATTTTATCAACCGCTCGCACCTCGCAGATTTTGTTGTTTGGGGGGCATTTTTTTTCTGACGCCCGCCCGCGCAGGCTGACAAAAAGACACGCCCTTCGCGGGTGGGGATCGTGTAGGACGGCCAAAGTAGGGATGTCCTCTGTATGTATTTCGACCCAGCGGAGTGCGTTCTCGTTCTGCGTTTGGGTTGAATCGTGTTTCTTTGCCGTCATTTGGATTCCGCCGCACAAAAAACGTTCAAAAAGTCGGAAAGTAGGTTCCGGTTTTAGCTCAGCCACCCACCTTTCTTGGTTTTCGGAGCTAGCCGGCATTTCGGATCCAGCCGTTGTGCGATACTAATCATCTCCGCTAGGACTTGAGGAGGACGGACTGTAAAGCTGTAGAGTACACTGCATCGTATCTGCTCCTTGCTGCTGCTCTCGGCTGACCCAGGACTCCAAAAAATCCCCACAGGTACGAACAAACTCTTTATGTGTGGTCGGTCGAAGATGTACTGGTCTCTGTACAAGCCAACAAGCCACCATGCACAACACACTACTACTGCTGCCCTTCACCTGTCGCCGTCCTTCCACGTCTACCTGTCCTTGGCACATGCTGCCACTCGATGCGACAACATCAGGGAACATCACGGACACAGGGAGTACTTTCCGTACCCACGTACACCGTCAAAATGTCAGAACAACTAAATCTCATTCCTCCTGTCGTGCCAAACATAAATGATGTATTATGCACGAAATGATCAACTCTTCTTTACATATGGTCTGTGCTGCCCACTNACGACCGCAAAGAAAAACGGCCGATTTTGCAAACAAAGTGGCCGATTTTGCAAACAAAGCAGCCGATTTTGGCCAGGGGATAGCCGAATGTCAGTCGGCTACGGCCGATTCCTAGTCGGCTACGGCCGATTCCAAATCGGCCACGGCCAATAACAGACTTGCGGTAAAAATGGGAACGTATCCAAAAATGAGAATTGGCGTTTTTCTTCAGAACCATCGGGTGTATTGTTGTTGTTGTTGTTGTTGTTGTTGTTGACTTCACATTAAACCGTATGCCAGTTGCTAAATGCCAAAATCTAGCAAAGACTCTCAGCCCGTGGTCACGAAAGTGCTAGAGCCANTAGCAGTCTTTTTTTCAATGATGACTAGTGATAAACCGGTGCATTACTGCGACTAGACACAGAGTTATTTACTTCCAAAGAACACAGATAAATGGACGAGCCCCGATCCATCTTGCGCAACAAGCATAGGATGCACGAGAGGGTGTTAAAAGGGTACCTGTACGGGCTAGTACGGGCACACATTGGGGTGGCCGAAAAAAAAATGGGTTGGCCGAAAACAAAATTGGGGTGGCCGAAAACAAAATTGGGGTGGCCGAAAAAAAATTGGGGCGGCCGAAAAAGGAAAAAAAGCGGCCGAAAGAGAAAAAAAAAAGCGGCCGAAAAAGGAAAAAAAAACGGCCGATGGAGGACAGGCCTANTATTTACTTCCAAAGAACACAGATAAATGGACGAGCCCCGATCCATCTTGCGCAACAAGCATAGGATGCACGAGAGGGTGTTAAAAGGGTACCTGTACGGGCTAGTACGGGCACACATTGGGGTGGCCGAAAAAAAAATGGGTTGGCCGAAAACAAAATTGGGGTGGCCGAAAACAAAATTGGGGTGGCCGAAAAAAAATTGGGGCGGCCGAAAAAGGAAAAAAAGCGGCCGAAAAAGGAAAAAAAACGTCCGATGGAGGACAGGCCTATTCGGGAAGGGCCTAGCGATTACGCCGCCAGTTCATCAGCGAAGTTGCGCCGCGTCTGTCTTGTTGTTATCTTCCCCCCCCCCCCC